ATTTTACACAGCAAAGCAAAACATTAACGTTTTGTTTAGTTTTAGAAGAACATTCAATTTCATTTAATCCAAGTTGCATTACATGGGATGTGCTTTCCTTAAATTAAACAGAAAGAGCTGAATCAATGAATTCTCCAGGCCTGTTCTAGTTGTAGCTGAACTCACAGTGATTGTCTTAGTATTTTCCTTTCCAAAGCCACAACCTCATTCTGTATGTGTCTTTTCTCCCTCTATCTCCTCTTACCAGTAGCAATGCATGGCCATGGTGAGAATTCCCTCTGTCTCATAATGATTTGTGATTTTATTTTTTTTTCCAGATGCCAGATATCCACATGCCCCATGTTGTTTTCCAGTATTAAGAAATATCAGTAATTACATTTGCTTACAGTGTGGTGTGAAAACTTGCTCTTTAGCCTCTCTAACACCCAACTAAACAGGGTATTGCAATAAATTACTTCTTAGGTATAGATCAGTATACTGAATGTTACCAACAAACTGAAAGTTATGGTACTTGTAGTGTCTCTCAGTCTGAGCAACTCTGAGATGGCTTTCTCTGTACAAGTTGGCTTTGCTAATAGTTAGATGTTTGGATAAAAAATTAATTTCATGGAATGATACAACTCCACTGATACTTCCAGATTCATGTGAATACTTATGGAAGAGTCTCAACACATCTGGCACAGACTAGATTGTAACACAGTATTTATGGTGATGAATAGTTGCTCATGAGTGACTAATAATTACTGTAAGTTTTAATATAAAGAACTAATAAAATGTTGCATTTTATTTTTTAATTTGGATTTACATCTGGTGTGAAATTTTCTTTTCCACATCGTTATAAAAAGTCACCAAATATAAACACAGAAGTATTAGTCAATGCTTTTGCTTTGAGGAATGGGCCCATCATCCTAATAGCATGGTACTGTGCTGTGGAATACTTCCATTCTTAATCATAGACATCAGAAATAGTAGCTCAGAATAATTTTCACAATATATTCTTAAATACTTTGTGTTATTTGATCAACCTGTAGAATGTAGAAGTGCAAAAATCTCTGATTATTTGATTCAATGGAGAGTATTTAATTAGATATAGCTTAATGTTTCAATCTTTTTTGGTTAACTGAAATTTCATATTGATTTAAAAGATTTACATACATTGATCTTAGAACTGAAATTGAATGAAGGTTTCTGGTTTTATGTGATAGTATGAGACACACTTTGAACTCAGATCCTGATTTAAGATGATCTTTGCACTAAGATATGCAGTCTAAAGACACCTATTCAGATATAGAAGCTATTACTTATGAAAACAATGGCTAGCAACTAAGGAAATCTTTTGATCTCAAAGTGGAGGTATAAGAGGTATAAGACATGGAAAGGGGAACTGAAATCACACACAAAATCAGAAGCAGAAAGAGTAGTTGAAATTGTACCCCCTGACTCTTACTCAAAATCATCTTCCTCTTGCATGAAGAAAGCTAAATACTTGCAAAATAAAAATTTAAATATGTGAGTTTGGCTTTCATTTAGTACTGGGTACCAAAGGAGCTTTTAAGAAGACAGTATTCCGCATTGATTACAGCACTATGATTGGAGTATGGTGGGTTTTTTTTAGTTTTCCTTATACCACTTTCATGTTATTCTTGAGGAGTTTGTTGATTTTAAATGGGAGTCAATTTTATTTTCTCAACAGATAATATATAAAGTAAGGTTAAGATAGAATGGTCAGGGTAAAATTCCTCAAATAAATATTTTTTATTTTGTATGTGTGTACTTCCACATCTCTTATGTGCCTCTTAGTCTTTATCCCATTAACATGTTCTAAGTGCTCTGTTCAGTAGATTTTTATGTCCATTTGAGAAGGCCATTTAGGTCTTCAGTGTATCAGATGGTGCCAAGTATTGTCAATTAAAATGCAAAGAAGTTATTCAAAGTGTTAACCTTAGGCAGTAATGAGAGGGGAAAAAAGGGTGTTTTTCTGGCAGGCACTGCTGGTTTTCCCCCTCCTTATTGATTCTTTACTTCGATTTTTCTTTAAATACTTTTGGAGAAATGATTCTTTGAAAGGTCTAGTTAAAACTGAAAAGGAGAAACAAGGAACCAAAACAGAGCTTCAAGCCCAAGTCTGCATTTTTGAATATGATTTTTGTGTGCATCTAACTGCCACTAAACCAGCACAAATCTTTTACAGCTGTAGGATGCGGGAGAGCTGAGCACGCACACGACCAATGTGATCAAGCAATGCCCATTTATTACAACTAAGAAAGCCCTTTTGTAATGTTCTCCCGCACACGTGAGTAACATGCAGTTCAAGTCCTCAAGATGGGACAGTTAACTTAGCCCGCGCTTTAAACCTTCTTATGATTGGATAAAAAGTGCCACATCAGCCTTGCCAGGCTTCCTGCCTTGTGGAACTTCCTCTTCCATCCCAACCTCTTCTGGGGGTTGTTTGTCTCATCGAGTTTCTCCCCCCTCATTCAGGGTCACATCCTTATCGCATTCTTGCTCGGCTGAGGCTTTTATCAGTCTTGTTCTCACGCAGGATTGCTCACATGTCCATTCTCTCGCAGAAAGCCCTCTAGAATCCCAACAGTAGGATACTGACTTGTTACAGCTCCCGAAAAATATGCAATACAGTATCCTCTTCCCTGCAGCTCTGGCTGCCTCCCTTTGGTTCTAAGGACCACTTCATTCATTTTCCACTAGGGTGAAATTCCTGCTTTTTGTGGACCTCAATTCATTAGCAATGTAACACCTTAAAATCAGTCTGTGTGTTTTCTTCTTGGCTTGACTTTCCCTGAATCTTTCAGATTGTGCTATTTCTTATGTCCTCTGTCCAAATTTTCAAGCTTTTATTTCCAAAGCTTTGCTCACAAGAATTACTCCTGCCACCTCAGTTTCTGTTCCTGGTTATAGTTTCCCTCTGATTATTCTTCCCCTCACTGATTTCCGTATTGTCAGCAGAACCAAATGAGGCCAGGTCCACATTTGCCTCTCTGATCCTTGGCTGACTGTGTCTATATTACCCCTTGTATACAATTTTACACCATAAAATTTAGAACAGAGTGAGTAGAGCCCTGAGTATTTGTACCTACTTTATCCTGCAAACTAACTTATGCTAAAGTTGCATACAAATGTGATTTGACCTTGTAGAAGGTGCCTCAAAGTACCCCAAGTTCTCATGTCCGTCCAATGTCAGGCAAAATTACCACATGAAATGAGTATAGATGGATGCTGTTCACCAGGCTTTGGGAGGTAGGGCTATTTGCACTTCAGATAAATATGTGACTAAATGGGCTTTAAAGTGCATGCAGTACAGGCAGACAAATGCCAGTTTTGCTTAGGGCATTGTGGCTGAGTCACTGTAAGCAAGCCTCATTTGCGTCTTACAAGTCAGCACTGTGTACCTGCTGAATTTAGCCTTTAGCCCATATTTAAACATAGACATACCCTCCCTACTGACCAGTCCGACAACATCAAGTTACATCAAGGCTTGGTGCATTTGCCCTTATGGCAAAGGAGGTGAATAGTATCCTGAGCCGCATTAAACAAGGCATTGCCAGCAGGTCAAGGAGAGTGATTCTGCCGCTTTACTCAGCACTGGTGAGGCCACACCTGGAGTGCTGGGTCCTGTTCTGGCATCCCCAGTATGAGAGAGACTTGGACATACTGACCCTTCCAGTGAAGGGCCATAAAGATGGACTGAAGCACCTCTGCTATGAGGAAAGGCTGAGAGAGCTGGGACTGTTCAGCCTGGAGAAGAGAAGGCTCAGGGGACCTTTATATACATTTATATAAATACCTGAAGGGAAAATGCAAAGTGGACAGAGCCAGGCTCTTTTCAGTGGTGCCCAGTGTCAGGACCAGAGGCAATCAATGGGTGCAAAGTGTAACACAGGAGGTTCCCTCTGAACATCAGGAAATACTTTTTCAGCATGAGGGTGACTGAGTACTGGCACATGTTGCCCGGAGAGACTGTGGAGTCTCCCTCCTTTGAAATAATCAGAACCCATCTGGACATGGTCCTGGGCAGCCAGCTCTAGGTGGCCCTGCCTGAGCAGGGAGGTTGGACCAGATGACCTTCAGAGGTCCTTCCAGCCTCAACTGTTCTGCGATTCTGTAATTCATTCCAAGCGTACAAGTTCAGCACAGCTTCTGGCAGAGTCTGAAAATCCCCTCGCATTACTATTTCCATGTTAGAACTACAGTGTATTATGGGTGAGTAGATTTTTCATAGGTCTTTCAGTTTCCCCACATTCAGACCCCAAACTTTTTGGACCTTGGGCCTTGGATTTGAACTACCATTTTAGCTCTTCCCAGTTCTGTGCTTCCCAAGAAATCCTCCATAGAAATCTCAACTGTCATTTTCATCAGCTGATGTGTTTAATCATCCATTATCTTAATCAGTCATCTTTTGTGTATTTTATCCTATAGTTGTGTATATGCCAGTTCAGTTAATGTGCTTGATGCATAAACATCTGGTAATCTCTAACAAAATTATTATTTTTTTTTTCCCTAAACAGAAACAAAAATTAGAAGCAAATGCTGCCACTGACATTCTTTGAGGTAATTGGTTTTTTCTTGCCAATGATGTGCAATTACTGTGTAGCTATTTTTGTATATAACAGATTTCACAGTTCTAGGAGAAGGGATGAGGTCTCTTTCATATCTATGGAGATATGGATCAGCATGCAGTATTCTATTTGCTGCGGTAATTTACAGGAGGTCTGCATTGTTCCTATTTGCACTGTGAATTCAACACCTGTACTTGCCATCAAAATAGCATACGCACACCCTGCAAGGCAAATTCTCCCCTCTTTTGTTTGCTTAAGATAATATATTTCTTTCCAGGTCCCATCATAATGTTTGTGTATGCAGCTCTAAAACTCCAGCTGTTCCTAGTTTGAGGAAACACCATTTTAATAGAAAACATTATTTAGTTATGAAACATCACACTAGTCCTGTGGATCATTAAAACACTGTGAAAACAGCAGAGAGGCTGAATTTGTATGCTGCTCTGGTACAGATGACTGATGTCCGTATCCTGCTCTCAGTAATTATTTGGGGAGTGATATTGACAGAAACAAGGCTTTCTACAGGTGTAGGAAACCATGCAAGATGATTGTAGGACTTGGCAAGAAAACTATTCTGGCTTCATTTTCAAAAAGAAATATTGTTCCTTTTCCAATTCTCATTTAAAAGATGAATAGAAAACATTTTTGTGAATGGAAACACTTCCCAGTCCAGCTAATTGCTAAATAATAAAGACTGAAAAGTCCTGTCCAACCATGAAGCAACACTAGGTGACTCAATATGGGCATGCACTGTCATTGAGTATCAGAACAATAAAACAAGTTTATTCTGCCTTTTTCTCACAGCAACTTCATAATTCCAGGAGTATTAATAATAACAGGGTGTAAAATTTTCTCCATGTTTGAGAGTAGGAGAGAAATATCAGTTTTATATGCTTTGATCCTTCTGTTTATGGCTATTCATCTATCTGCTATGGGGCAGAAAAAAAGACTGAGATTTTTTTTTTTTTTCATTCAGTTAGCTCTTTTTTTTTTTAATGGCATTACGTTAGCTCTGTGCAAAAGAATCAGGTATGTTTACATACATATCGTGACTAATACAGAAATGCTGTAGAGTTTGTTAAATATATTTGTTGCAGGCTTTTTTAATTTAACTTTCTAAAGAGGTGATTGAAAATATTGATCTATTACTTGGCTCTGCCTTTCATTTTGCGAGATGTGATTTTTTTTTTCCTCAATAACACCAACTGAAAGAGTGGTATTGGTTTTTAAAAGGTGTTGACCTCAGTGGTTGACTTTGTGACTTAAGGAGGTCACACCCATGTAATTGATGTGGAAAAAATGTGACCCTTTGTTATTAGTAAATGCTAAAGCTCTCTTATCCTTTCATGTGTTCAGAATGTGCTTCTAAAACCATGACTGAGATCTGACCTCACATTCTTAGAGTTTCTTACATTATTCCTTCTTATAGTTACCATGTAAACTTCTTCATTTCAAAGAGGATTTTGCCTGAAGGAGTTGTGCAAAAATGCCCTTGTGCTTTATTCAAAGATGAATTCCTAAAATTGTGAAGGCTCAGCTCAGTTAGGAAACCTGTAAGTAGGAGTAGTGAGTGAAACAGTGATGTGGTCAAATGCCATTTTGAAAATAGGAGTGCTGTTTACCTAACAACCCTCCTAAAATTCTGGGCAAGCACTGATACAGTACTGCTTTTCCTCCTTATGCGATCTATTATAATATTATAATAAACAACAAAGGCATTCACTACCAGAGCTTTTTATTAATGCATGAAGGGCTTGCTACATAGTCTTCTCCTGTTTCTACATTGTTTAATTAACCAGTAAGACTTAAATACTTAGTGATGTTTATCCTTCTCTATCCAAATCTCACTAAAGGGTGCTGAAAAACATGTATCACCACTTACAGTTATCATAACTGTAATAATTTATTATAACTTTTTCATTGGTCCTTCTAAATTTGTTAGCCCGTGACTTGGTCAGGAAATGTGAGGAGAACAGATCTCTGGGTGCAGCAGCCTCTTCGGATTGAGGCCTTACAAACGTGATAACAGTAAAGCCTGTGCCGCCACAGTGAGTGTGGAGTCCTCTGGAGGACATTCTCCCTGACCAGCAGTGCTACCTCTCCTTTCTACTGAGGTCCCCAGACCCATGTGCAGCACCTTGCACTTGGCTCTGTTGAACTTCAGGAGGTTTGCATGGTGCTACCTCTCAAGGCTGTCCATATCCCTCTGGATGGTCCATCCCTTCTCTCCAGCATGTCAACTGCACCACACAGCTTGGTGTCATCGGTGAACTTCCTGATGGTGTGCTCAATCCCACTGTCCACGTAGCCAACAAAGATGTTAAACGGTGCTGGTCCCAGTACTGTCCCTTGAGGAACACCACTCATCACTGGTCTGCACTTATAGATGTATGGTATACTTTTCTGTCACATATATTCCCATTTCTATGTATACCAGATACACCTTTCTGTTAAACACAGCTTTTTAAGCTCTATGTGTTTTTTAATTTGTTTAAAGTATATTTTCTTTGTTAAGAATAGGTCTTTGTTTAAGAGTCTTGTCAAATTGATGAATTGTATTCATCCAGTTGTATACTTCTCTTGATAAAGGATGTTTTGGATTTTTTTATGAACTAGCAACATCATACATGAAAAAGGCAGGTTATGTTATGAAGTCAAAGACCCTAGGATGGGGAAGCAGTGGTTAACAGACAGCTTCAAAAGCAGATGTTTGTCAGTAGTGTCTCCCAAAATTAACATGGAATATCAGTGTCAGAATGAAATCTGCTCGTGGATGCCACTGATTGGTTGACTAGTTATAGTTTAAGAAGGTTTTATTATTCTTGTTGTTGGAGGGAAAAACGTTGGTTATATCTATATTTCAGATCAGTTGTGGTTTGTGATCTCTCCTGTGAGAGCTGGAGAGAGTTAATAAATGTTGGGCTGCATTTGTGAGGAGGATGCAACTATTGCAGTTCTCTGTCCTTTCAGGATGACTAGACTGACTCTGGGTTATGGGCATAGAAATGGGATCTAGGGAAGTCATGTGCCTGTGCATAAGCCTGTAAAGAATAGCACAAGGTTGTGTTTAAGACCTGCTTGTCAAGGATGTAAATCTCTCCCTTTGGGCTTGGGGGTGCCTTTCTCTTCTTTGACTTGACTGCTCTTACTAAGCATGTAAACCCCTTTGAATAGTCTACTTTGAAGATGAGCTTATCAATCCTACTCTTTTTTCCTTAAACAATCGGTGTAGTTTTGGATCCATTGTCAGGTAGTCTAGTGGTTAGGGCATTCACCTGGGAGAAGGTAAGGCCTTTAAATTCTTTTTACACAGTGGGGAAATGCTTTAAAAAGAAGTATTGAGAGTCTCAGCACCAGAACACTTTCTTGCCTAGAAGGTAAATGATGGAGATTCAAAGCCTCAGACAAAGGATGGCATTTATTCTGAACCTTTGATGTAATGGATCAAAGCTTTAATCTTCAAACTGTTGTGGAAACAAGCACTGTTGCTGCATCCTTTGATAAAGTGGTGTCCTAGACTGAATGTTAGACTAAGACACACTGTACTGTCATGATCATCTGGCCCTTGTTTTGTTTCACATTGCTTGAGTTACTTTCTTTAAAGAATAAAATGCCCCAAAGTTTCTGCGGCTGTCAACATGAAAGGGGAAGGGATCTCATCTTCAACCACAAACAGACACAGCATCTAGATCTTAAGCTATTTAGGTCCCTGAGTTTTGACTTTAAAAGATCAGCTGGCAAAAGTGATGTATTTAAAGAGTCTAAAGGAGAAGGAACCCAACTTTCAGGAAAAATTAAGGTTTTAGGAAGAAGACCTCAGTAGTCTTATACTCAGTGGTTGACAGAGCTACTAAATGAACTTTGTCAAAAACAAAATCTGCTGGGGAACCCTCCCCTGCAACATTTGTTTCAGCTTTCTGGTAAGGATGAGTGGCTAAAACATAACTGAAAGAAAGGGCTAACCTTTTTCACATGTGAAGCTTCAAGGTTATATGCTGCACCTTAACATCATGTACAGTACATTTGTACTTCCTTGTGATGCAGCCTGACAGGCTGGTTCATAGAAATCACAGATTTCAAAGCCCAAGCTGTCAAACTACAGCATGAAAGCTTTTAAGAAAAAATTGCTTAATTTTTCTGTAATGCATCTGCAAAAGGCTTGGTGTACTATCCTTACTGGAATATAAATGTTAACATGCCATTACATCTCCATAATGTACATGTGATCAAGCATACAGCTTTGAATTAAATAGTTCACCTATTTGAATAAAGACAAAAATAATCTAAGCATGCCTGGACTAGTTAAGATATATAATGCTCATGAATAATATGTTCTGCTTTTCCTATTGCTGAAACTGAAAAAATAATGACTGAATTGCCATGTGATTGTAGTTGGTGAGTCAAACAATTTTTGTGCTTGGGGAAATTGTACTGTTCTATCATTATAGATTATAGGGATATGTAATATATATCTATATATGTCTATATGATTATATCTGTATAAATGTAGTTAGTATATATCCGTATAGCTATATCTAATCCACATGATTAAATGGAGATATAGACGTAGATACAAATAAAGATATATAGGTATAGATATAGATATAGATACAGATATTTATTGATTAACCACATGGTTAAAGAAACAAGTAGTAAGAAAGGAAGCCTTCCACTGGTCTGAACTCATTGAGATCTTAAGTGGGCAAAACCTATTACGCCTAGCAGAGTAGTGGAATAGACTGATTTTCTTAGTTGGTATGTGTCCATATTATGAAAAATACTCATCAGGATGTTTCTGAAACCCTTACTAAGTGTTCTCTGGGAGGTAGACAAAACAGAATAACAAAACCTGAATTTTCACCTCAAAACTGTTAGCTACAGAGAACACACGCTTCTCTGAATCTGCATATAAAAATGTTCAAAAAGCCTTTCTATTTTACTCAGAGGCCAAAGTGGGCTGATCTGTAAAGTATTAAAAGTAGATGTCTCAAGCTCAAACAAGCAATGCATTCAGTCTTCAGAAAGTGGCACAAAGTACAGAGAGAAATGTCAGTATATGGTACATAAACAGTAAAAAAAAGGAAATCAGTTTATTAATATTTACAAAACATATACTGGTAAAAATAAATTATATGTAATTATATTGAATTCTGTTAAATATTGTGTTGAGTTCCAAATATCACCACTGGTCAAATTTGTTATGATAGTTCTCCTGTTATATTAACTTCGCAGCACTATTCAAATCTTAAAGTAGAAAAGAACATAGTAGTAGATGGAAAGGAAGTATGTTTCAAAGTGATGTGTATCTCCCTCCTCCTTCTACCATGCAAGTGTAAAGAAATATGATAATATGAAATACAGCAGTTATCACATTTCCTTTAAAATAAAATCACTGACACAACCAAAACCAGAGTTTTTTGATATATGAAAAAGTTTTCAAGTCTTTATGTAAGAACAATTTTAAAATTCATATCAGATATCACTGAAGTATCCAAAAGTGGATACTTGTAGCTGTCTGTCACCAGAAGGCTCTTAATTGTCAGCTCAGTCCTTCATTTTTACATGCAATATGCCTGCTAAAGTGAACAAACTCTAGATGCCTGTTATTTGGGTTATTAATATTCTTCCTTTAGAACCTTGCACGGCTGGTCAGATTAGTGTCTTTTGGGATACTGCTTTGATTACAATTTCCAAGTTGTTTTTTTTCAGCTCTGTAGATTATTATATGTTGAGTAGTAGTTTTGGTGTGTTTAGCAACTGCAGCTTCATTGTGAATCATCTTGTGTCTAAATCTGCAAAGTCTCATTCACCGTTACGTGGTTCCTAAAACATAATGATGACTATAGTGGAACTGGTAGCTATTTTTGGAAAAGCTGCTCCACTTTGCATATGAGTCCTTGCTATCTCGTTTCAAGAGAAAGAGAAAAATTAATAGAAAATGAAGATGAAAAGACAAGTTTGTGAATCCTTATTCTCCAGTGTACAGATGTAAGGGAATATTCATGCTATAAACTGAAAGGAATTGTCTGTCACTAAGCCAGGTACTCCCCCCAAATACTTTTTGCAGGGAGCAGTTCAAAGAACCTAAACTAGATTGTGCTCTTTAATCACCCCCCGGAGAAGCTTCTCTCTCTATTGACTGTGCACATAGAAAATTAACTCTATCTCAGCCAAAACTAGTACACTTGGTTGGATGAGGGATAGGAATCACTGGTTTTAAACTGGAGCAATTTATTTAGTGAAACCTCAAGCGAAAAATGCTCCATTAATCTCATAGTGATTGAAACCCTCACCAAAAATCTATCAGCTGAATCGGCTTCTGGTAGTGAGAAGAGCGTGTACCTCCACATAAATTTTATTCTAGTCCAAGTTTACTGTCTTCAGTGAAGGGAATTTTTATGAGATTGCTCTATAACCTGTATAAATCAGATCCCCCCCCTTTTTAAAAAAAACTGTGCTATTTTTTCAGAATGTACTAAGAACAGTCTACTTATTATTTGCGGATATGCAGTGTAGTATAAAACTCAAAGTAGTTACTTGCTTCTTTTCTAGCTTGAAATTAACTGCTCAGTTCTTTACATTCACTTACATTCAGTACTACTGTGAAAATATTTAGGAGACTGGAATATCTAATGAATAGTCTCACTTGCCCTCAAGAAATAAAAACAGCAGAGAAAAGATAACAATCAGTTTTAATATGGGAGATAAAAGTATTAAGTTCTGAATGCTTTCTGACTTCACAACACATGAATAACAATCACAGAAGTATTTTAGAGAAATAGAATAATGCTTCGGAGAACAGAACCTGAATATTTCATGGGAGACAGCAGGGAGGGACCAGAAAGAGGTTGTGAGCTCTTAGGAAGATGCTGACTGGCCTTGTGGGTAGCTGACATGAAAGCAGGTCTCCTGCAGGTTAAACACTGATAAAAATATTATTTTGATGCATCTGTGTACGAGATTTTTATCAACATAATTGATGGTAAAACCACCACCGTAGAATAAATAATGTACTTAGTCTTTTGAAATGACAGTATCTCCAGGGCAATACAGTGACAATACAAGGAGCTGACATTACCATAAAATATTTTATGGCCAAAATTTGCTCTAAGAATTCTATTTAGTAAGGCTAAATCTGTGAGGCTTTGACTCATGCAGAACTGTTGCATAATCCTAAAAATGATTGGTTTAAAGACATGATTTTGAAGAAGGGCCATATTATTGATAGTGTAATGAGAAATTTATTGATACAAAATGAAACCCACTGCAGCACTAGGTCACTTTTCAGACATCAGGAAAGAAGGTAGCAACTAGGTTTACTTGCCAGAGTTGTGGCAATATTGATTATGTGTTACCATCAGCAAACATCATGTGGTTGAGGTGAATGGGCAATCCTTAATTTTGGCAAGTGTTGCCTTTAGAAAAGCAAGTATTTTTGATTGGTGACTTTCCCAGAGCTTCTAAAACCTGCCAAACCTTCCTGAAATGTAGTGGAATTAACACTGAAACAAAGAGAGAAGCAGTAACAGAATATCATGGATTAAGAGTGAACCCCTGGAGAGCTAATTTGGACTGGAGACAGTAGAAAGTGTCCATCTTCTTAGCTATATGTATATAAATATGCACCAATGCTGGTGGAATGAAGAAGGTTCTCAGATTTTTTTTAAGTGTTTGGTCTGTTTTAGGCCTTTGAGAGTGATACTCTATCTCAGAACTCTTCTGGTCTTTGTAAAAACATGTTGAAAGTTGGGGTTTTTTTGAAGAAAAAAACCCAAAACCTAGATGTGAGACTGTCTGTCAGCAATAGGACACAATTTGGCAGGTGAGGTGGAAGAGGTGGTAGGACTCCAATTGCTGCATGGTATTGTTCATCTTCAGAAAAGAAGCCTTCTGAGACTTCTGCACTTATATAGCATAGTAACATGTATGTTTTACCAGCCTTTCCTGGTGTCATGCCTGGGATTAGTGATATAGTTTAGGAGCACACTGTGTCATTTCACATCCTCCAACACTAAGCCTTTCTGGGAGGAAATGGCAGACAGGTTTGTTTAAAAGAATACTGAAATGAAGTGGTTTATCATCCACCTTTCCATATGATCTCTTCTTTCCTGCAATAAAAAGCTGTTCTCTTGTGTTCCTTTTCTCTTTGAAACATCTTGAGCTACTTATGGTAATAGCCACCAAATCCCTTCATTACTGGTCTCTTCAACATCTAATTCCTTGGCTCTGATCATGGGATTAGCACCAGGAAAGACAGTTCTATCGTAGGAACCCTGTAATGCTTTGGTATATCCGTTCTTGTTCTTCTGAGTTTGCCTTGATGACACTTTTTTTTTTTTTTTTCCTTTCCCCATCCCTCCTGCCCCCGGAATTCCAGTAAGCACAAACTTCTCACAAATACCCAACAAGTATCCTTTGGTTTTTCTATAATGTTTTATTTTAATATAAAGCTTACTTGATATATTCAGGTTCTTAATTTCCTGATAGTAAAGGCCACCAGGAAGGTACACTGTTTTGACTGTGCTGTCAGACTGCAGAAAGCAGGCTGGGATTCTGTGGGCTGTCCTTTTAACAATCAGAGTTGCATTTCTGATTTCAGATCTTCTACTGGAAGCAGCTGCAAGGCTTACTTTAAAACCACAGTTTTATTTCCAGTAGTTATGATCTTACTTGGGTGTGGATGCACATCTTGGGGAAGCTCTGAAAAACAGTGTTTTAAAAGATTAAGGACAAAAGCTAAGGCTGTAATTCAATCATGCAAAATATGTGTTTACAATACTTTGCTCTCATAATTTCCAAAGAATTTTCTCAACACCTTAATCATCCCAGATTCACCGTTTGGACCTTTGTTTCTATAGGTCAGTTTAATTTCTAATCCTTCTAATTTAAAATACTACCCAGTGCCACCAGGAGGTGTCCGTGTCCTATTTATCGGTTACTAATCTGGGTGGTTGCATTTTTTAATTTTTTTGGGAGGAGGGCTCCATAAAACCACCACAGTGGTAGCAATTTCCATAGGATCATTATTATTATATGGCATTGGTGTTTGCACTTCCAAACAAAATGAAAATGTGTTTCTGTCCAGACAGAGTTCTTAATTCTTTTCCTAGGTGAGAATTATAGATGAAAAAGACCTGTTAAGTCATCCATCTTTTTCTTACAGCATGCCCTGTTTCCTGAAGTATACTGTATAATGTATTGAGGATATCAGTCTGTTGCTAGGGAAATGATGACTATAATCAGATGTTACACAGTCTACATTTTGACTGCATTGCAGGATCAAAGACGAGGTTGTGGAAACGAAGATCTTGTACTGAAACACGTAAGTTGTGTCCTCTTAGTACTTGTGTGTAACCTCCAGGTTTAGTAAAAAGAGGCGAGCATATACGACAAAAAAGCTAAATATCACACAGTATTTTTATGTTGCACATTTGGGCTGTGATATTTAATTGGAAAATAACTAGTCTATTTTTTTTTTTTAAATATAAGCATAAAATATGTACAGATCCATAGTGATCCACAGAACATTACAGATGACTGCAAGATGTTCTATTACACTGTAGTCTAAAGTAGTGCCATATTTATTACCACATGGATATTTAGAAGCATACATTAGTGAGTAGTAAACCTGATGTCATTTGAACATCAGATAGGAAGAATATGAACAGCCCTGCCTGGTGATATAATGTACAGTTCAGATGTATTCCATAGGGTCTGTTGAAAATACCGTTCCAACCAAATTAAAACTCAGTGTGTTGCAGCAGTCACAAGCACTACCTGCAGGTGCTGTATGTGCAGGAGTGATTCTTTTTTTCATGGCTGTACAGTCAGATTGACTATTTCTGCTTTCTATTGCATTTTGCAATCAACGTATTTTGATAAAGTGGATGCCATCCTTGTTGAGGAGGTATCATTAGCTTGAAAAAGATTTCCAAATACAGCAGTGTGTTGTGTGGGTTATGGCCAAACTTCTTAAAAGGTTGAGATTTGTAAGTTCACAGAATCATCTAGGTTGGAAAGGATGCTGAAGATCATCTAGCCCAACTGTTAGCGTAGCACTGACAGTTCCCAACTACACCAGATCCCTCAGTGCTATGTCGACCTGACTCTTAAACACCTCCAGGGATGAGGACTCTACCACCTCCCTGGGCAGCCCATTCCAACGCATAACAACCCGTTCTGTAAAGAAATGCTTCCTAATATCCAGTCTAAACCCTCCCTGGCGCAACTGGAGGCCATTCCCTCTTGTCCTATCGCTTATTAATTGGTTAAAGAGACTCACCCCCAGCTCTCTGCACCCTCCTATCAGGGAGCTGTAGAGGGCGATGAGGTCTCCCCTCAGCCTCCTCTTCTCCAGACTGAACACCTCCAGTTCCCTCAGCCGTTCCCTGTACGACCTGTGCTCCAGAGCCTGCACCAGCTTCGTTGCCCTAAGTTTGCCAAATCAAATTTAGTAGTCATATTTCACTGAGGATATAGTTTTCGGGCTACCTGTGTAAAACTATAAGCTTACCACCTCCAACCCCTGCCTCCCCAAATTTACCCACGGACTTGATCTTTTATATTTGTCTGTAACTATAACACCATACCAACAAAAAACCTAGCACGGCCTCTTCCAGGAATAGTGATTGGATTCCCACCAGTGATGGTAGTCCCAGGATGTTTCTGAGTAGCTCCTGACCCCATGGACTCACAGATGTCTTGTTCTATTGATAAAGATAAATATTAAAGCAGCAGGTAGGCATCGTTACTGTATATGAGTTTTTAACTTTCACAGTACATGTTCTTACATAATAGCCAGCTGAATCACTGAAAAGAATGCGGACAACAAAAATCTTTTTACAGGCAAGTGAGTCAACTGAACTAGTAGGAAACTCCACTGAAAATGAATGATAAAACATTTTCACATCAAAGCTATGGCTAATGCATTAGCTAGATACTTCCCATTTGAAGTCCCAAGTAGTAACCAAACTCTATTACGGTTTTGCTGATGTGCACATTGCAACACTGAATTTCTTTGCACAATCACACCTGTGTTGTTTTTTTTTTAGTGAAAAAAATGACATACAAATGGAAGCATACTACTAATGAAATGGATCTGTCACCATGCTATATGGTAAAAAAAAGTATCTTTTCTCCTTTGCTGCCTTAGAAACCACTATGTGTTCACACTTAAAAACGGCTTCTGTGTACGTTTGTAATATCCATCTTTGATGAACACAATGAAACTTAATTTACATACTAATGCAACAAAACAGATACAGGATAGATCAACTCACCAGCTAACACATGCATTATTTGGGCTACACTAGTACTGACTGAAAGATAGGTAGCATTAATCCCCTGATACTGGCTTGTGGAGCTGCTCAAGATTTGATTTCCCTACAAATATCTCCCATCCATCTCTCAGACAATGTGTCACTATTTCATATTAATTACTGCTGAGTTACTTCTTTTTGATTTCATCTCTCATTCTTTTGTATGTTAAAAACTGCTTACTTTTTCAGGATCAAAAGGTATTTTTTTCATGGAAGTAGATTTAAGCATTAACTGATTAACCACTGATACAATAGATTTATTATTGCACAACTACAAAAACACCGTTATCACCTATCTTTGCTAGTGCATGTAGATTTTTTGCTAATATTCTTGGCTCAGACATTTTGGGAGCATTCACTAGGATCTGCCTTAGTCAAGTCTGTATCAGGCCACCACCTATTACATTACACTCACAGATCAACACCAGAGAATTTCTTAAGAGCAAATAGTATTGAAGAAGTATTGTGATAACTAATTTGCTAAAACCTTACTTATAAGCATGTCATCATTAGCATTGGTCTTTATAAACATTTGGTTTCAGGGCCCTGAAGCACGTGTTGCTTGAAAATACCAAGAGATCATTTGTACACACGTCATGTGTCATGAGTTGACAAGTCTGTCCTGCCCTCCATCCCAAAACATCAGCAGCTCCAAGCCATAATGTAAGAATCAGTGAAAAGGGTAGAGCACAAAGTCCTGATGCTTTCAGAAGATGGGGATGCTTCTTGTCAGCATGAGTGCACTGTATTTGTGTTTAGCTTTACTCTCCGCTTTTAAGATTTGTTCATATTTTGTCAACTCAGTTAGATTTGTCACACAACAATAGGAACTGATTCAGTACCCTGTTATCCTATTTTTGTTCAGACCATTGTTTGACCATTATTTTATCTCAGATATTGGCAATATGTTATATAAATAAAGTAATAGTGGAAATATACCAAACATCCATATTGATCACCTCTGTCCTTATTCTCTTGCAGGAAAGAATAGAGTTCAATCTCAGTCTGCAGAGAACAGTGACAACATTCCTAATTTATCATTTTCATGGCTGTTTAAAGTTTCTGCTTTCCACAGAGATTCCTGTATTCTGCTACCTAAGAAATCTTTCATTCTCTCCATTAGAACCTGGTGATTCTCATTTGTCTCAAGGATAAAGGGCCACAGATTTATGCTTCTTTTCTAGAGCACTGTTGAAACCCTGAAGTTGGTTCTGAAGTCAAAAGATCACCTTTTATCTTCCTTTTAGCTGACCAACACATCCTGACTGTCCATCATATGACAGAGAAAGTGATTTCCTGCAAGGGGCTCCACCTGCATTATTATTAAGAAAAGATACCTCCTCTTATTGCTGGCCTATCTTCTGGAATTCACACTTTCTTCCTGGTTCTATTGCTTCTCTTGTGCTGAGAACTTCGAAGCAGATTCCCCTTTCTGCATGGATCAAGGAGATGAAGAGAAACAACCTTCCCACTACAACACTTCAGTCAGTTAAATATACAGAAAATCCAATACAGCACTCCATAAGCATATATTTCTTGGGTATTATTTTACATGAGGGAAGCACAGGACAGAAAATAAACCAGCCAGGAAGACAGGCAGAGAAAACAACTGCTGAGGTAAGGCAAACTTTGTCAAAGTTGAGGTTACATTACTGTGCTGAGTCTCAACAGCAGCTCTCAGTCTTTTCTTTGTACAAAATTCACTGATGTTTCTGAAACATAAAATATAAACATTTATCACACCTGGAATTCTTCACTGTTTAGCTGAGGAAGGCATTCATACTGCAGAAGTTCCCATTTAACCACTTTGGTAGTTGTTCACCTCCTTCTGGGCACCAGGTAATTTCATTATCCATTTGCATGAAATATAACTCCTCAGGACCTGTCATTCATATTAGGATACACTTTTTCCCACTTTAATATTGTTGAAAAAAACACAGCAAGGGAAATAATCAGGGACAAGTAGCAGGTATACTGCCATTTTTTTCATATTTATTTAATTGCTATATGAAAGGTCATGTTGAACTTTTCACTTAAAATGACAGTTTGATGAAAGAATGGTATGTGCGTGCTTGCTGCTCTCTTTTAATAGAAGCTTTTTGAAGTATGTGGACAACATTAATGGAAGTAAGCATAAGACAGAAATGCCAGTATCTCTGTCCAATTCTACTTCTATATCCCTTCTGATTCAAGTGAATGGAGATCTAAATGATGCAAGTGCAATGCTTGCAAACACAGATTTTATTACGGGCAACAAGAACATGAGTACAGAGACTATTTTCTGAAGTGATGGGGTTAGCGGGATGAAGGAGGTACTGAAAACAGACAACTAAAGAGACAGTAAAACAAACAACCCCCACCACCAAAACCAAACCTTTAAGGAGTATTCTGTTAAGCTGATAGTCCAGACCTAACTTCGTTGAGTATATACAGCTTTTGTAGAGATCTTTCTAAAATAATCCTGGTTTAAACAAACAAATATTTTACCTATCATGAGAACAATAAAATATAAATGAGATATTGAAACAGAAGTGAGAGTGGCAGGCTTATCGCAAAAGATAACTAGCAAAGGGAAAAATAACCATCAAAGTCCGATGCCACATCAGTGTCCCTTATATGATGCAATTACACAGAAGTATAGGTGTGACTATACTTGAACTAGCTCTCTTGAAATTGCTTGGGTAATAATTGTACTCAAGATACAGTGCTGTGATTTGGCACAGACTAATCACACATTTACATAAAGTGAGGCTTGCTTATAGATGTTACAGAAATATCCCAAACAAAGAAAGCAAGCAGATTTCAAGCCATACAGCAAGCACTCATAAACTTTTGGGGGATAAGCAACATAAATAGCCTTTTACTCTACTAAAATTAACAATGCCATTTTCCATCACAGAGAGATGTGTTTAAAAAACCAGCAAAGGCCTCCATAATTGTTTCACAACCAAAAGAGAACAAGAGGAGAAGTAGAAGAAACAGGTACAAAATAGAGAGGAAAGGCTGAAATGAATTTTATTTCACAACACAGAAGAATTAAGAAGGAAAGTACTGAAAAAGCACTGAAGGAAAATAAGGAAAACCAACATTTTAATGTACTGTAATTACTTATTCCACTATTGCCTTTTTCTGTGACATTTTTTATTGATGATGTTTCATGGATCATCAATAAAGTAACAATACAAAAAGCCCTAGAAATTTATTTCCTTCTGGTGTTTGTGCTAGATTGACAGTAACTAATCCATGACAAAGGGGCAATCAGTTCAGCCTGAAGACTTGATGCAAGAGCAAGGGGGGTGGGGGGGGTAATAATTAAAACAAAAAAAGCTCAGTAATAATGTGTTAACTTTGAAAGGAACACCAAGTGAAACAAATGAATAAATAATTAGTTTAAGGGTAACAGTATTTTCAAAGCAAATGGACTACTTCTGTTACCAAGAAGATAGGGCATTTGACAGCTAATAAGACAACGAGGCATTCAGCTTCCAAACAATAAAAGGTGAGTTCATATTACACTAGTGAGCCACAAGCACACTGCTGGCTTGTTTTTTATTAACACTAATAAATGAGCTCATAATACTGATCAGAAGTGTTTTTTTTTTCTTCACACATCTCACAAAAGAATTTTAGGTGACAAGTACTATGATACATATGGTAGAAACAAACAGCTGTGGCCACAAAGATGTTTTGTTAACTGATGATTAATATATTTAGGAAGCAATCACACTATTCATTAGTAAAAGTTTACA